TGGTGTTTTTCTCATGATGTGTTCCAAATACAAATTGAAAAGGACAGGGGATAGTATTCAACCCTGTCTCACTCCCATACTGGTTTTGAAAAATTTGCTTATGTAATTTTGAGTGAGTACTGCAATGCTTGCATCTTTATAATGTTTCAATGGTGCTTGTGATGGTCTTATCGAAGTTGAAGGTTCTCAATATTTTCCAAAGCTAAGCATGCCATTAATCGCGCTGATGTTGTAAGTGTTTTTCAATCCCTACCTAATTATCCATTCATGTAAACTTAACACATTTTATTTTACAAAATTGCAACTAGTTAATAAAAAATGTGAAACTGTTGCAGGTCCTGGTGATAGAGTCAATACATTCCTTCGGCCTGTGTTTGTTTCTGTTTCGCGTTCTTCCTTGCCTTGATACCGTCAGGTGCCTGTTGCTTATGAATGCATTATGTACAGTTCCTGCTGTACTACGGTAAGAGATGAGACTACCTTTAATTAAAAGCACCTTGAATGTGAAATCCTTTTTTTTTTAAGGTATCAGAAACTCTTAGGTAATTTTTGTAAATTACTATTTCGAAGCCAGTGGAGCTAAACTTAATGCGTGCGACTAAGATAACAAACAGTTAGAAAATTTGAGGGACAGAAAATAAATGGAAGGCAGACAGAGAAGATGTGCTGAGACACACAGTGATACCGAAATCACGGAATTAGTATATGATGATGATAACAATGATATTTTCATAAAGACGACCAGTGTAGCAACAAAACTAATTATGCTAAATACATTTTATTTGTATTTTTAATCATGATGTCTAACTAAACTGTGTAAGCGAATAATTAATTCAGATACAGACAGACAGACAAACAAGTCGACATCTCTATTGATAAACAGACTGGTATACTTTTATTACATTATGCTTGATGTATTCAATTAAATGTTTAACTAAGGTTTCCTATATACATTGTCATATATCCACGTATGGGTTCTGGGGCCCAATTATGGGGAAAACAAGAACAGATCCACTGCCTCTCCAAGAAGCCTGTCGTAAGAGTCGACAAAGTCAAAGTCTAAATGGACGAACAACCCGGTCTTTTCGCCGCAGCTTACAGCCGGTGAACAAAGAAGAAGAAGAAGAAGAAGAAGAAGAAGAAGAAGAAGAAGAAGAAGAAGAAGAAGAAGAAGAAGAAGAAGAAGAAGAAGAAGAAGAAGAAGAAGAAGAAGAAAAAGAAAAAGAAGAAGAAAAAGAGGAAGAAGAAGACTAAGAAGAAGAAGAAGAAGAAGAACAAGAACAAGAACAAGAAAAATTGTGAAATATAGCCCTAAAACCTTAAGCACAATTAAAAGTGCAACTTTAGAGAATGGAGAGCGAGAGGAAACAAGGAATCCCATAACCTGTTTAAATTGCACTAATTGCTGGAATCTTGAGGGCTGTTAGCCAGCCATAGTTGGGGTATATGGCGAGAATGACAGATACAAGAGATCGCATCAGCACTGCAGGAGTCGTTTTTCAGGGCTCTTGGTGGCGTGCAATGCTAAATCATTCTATATGGCGCATGTAGCCTAGTCACAGTTATAACCTTAAGCTCCCCCTTCGAGGCAGAGGATCCCACTATAGTGACAGTGGCGACGGCCACCCGATCAGCATGATCACTGCCAATAAGGAAAACAAAGACGGACTACCTTCTTCAAGATGCCAATAACTGGCATCATTACACAGTTTACAAAAACGGAGCAAGAGGAAAGGACAAAGATATAAATACAGGGATGGCTTGACCACATTTGTTGGGCTATACAAGAACATTGACCTGATCCGTGATCCTGGAGATCATGTGAGATGGCAAAAGATAACATCGTACCCTTATCGGAACGGCAGATTATGATGATGATAATGACGATAATGATTATTATTAATATTTTTTTTTTGGACGAAATGTCACTTTGGTAAAGCAGAATAAATAGAAGCCCTCCAACATGTGTCGCTGTTAACAATGAAATTTTATATCCAGATGCTTATGAACTACCTGTTTTATCTTAAAACAGACAGAAAGCACACAAGACATTACAAATGTTACTGTTGACCATAAATTGTTAAATTAAGATGTGCATACACCAACTGTCTCCCAGGTTGTTCGCTACAAAGCGCTCCGAAGATACCAAGAAAAAGGTGTTCTCCATTGCCCTTGACGTGATAGCTCTTCTAATGCAACTGTCGGCATTTATTGTTGTCTTGGCTTCCATGAAATCTGAATGTGTTCACTCATCGCCTTCCAGTAGCGGCAGAGGTAATTATCACCAGTGTGTGGAGAATTTGGGCTAAACATGTATTTGTTGTTGTTGATGATGATGATATACCAGCTGGCACTTTCGTTCATTGCCATGCACACCTACAATCTCAAGTGTATAAAGCCGGGGAAAGGGGGGGGGGGGGGTTGTGTATGTGTGTGACTAAAAGCCGAAACACGATACCAGCCCAGCCTGACCAATGACAACTCGATAAGTCGCCAAACATATAACCAAGCGGCATTGGTCATGCTTGAACGTAGTCATTGTGAACTTTGAATTGAATTGTGTGTGTATGTGTGTGTGTGTGTGTGTGTGTGGTGTCTGTCTGTCTGCTTGTCTGTCTGTCTGTCTGTCTGTCTGTCTGTCTGTCTGTCTGTCTGTCTGTCTGTCTGTCTGTCTGTCTGTCTGTCTGTCTGTCTGTCTGTCTGTCTGTCTGTCTGTCTGTCTCTCTCTTTCTCTCTCTCTCTCTCTCTCTCTCTCTCTCTCTCTCTCTCTCTGTGTATGTGTGTGTGTAAGGATCATTATACTGAGTAAAAGTTAGAGATCCTTTTTCATGCCTTTATGCAAATCGATAATATGGGAAGAGCACCCATATTTTACAGACGAATGGCACTCGGTGGGTAACGTGATCAGCATTAGACCGGCGTATTTACTTCCCCAGGACATAGATCCTGGAACCTTTTTTAGGCTGTGTCGATCTGCGACACCCCATACCATGATAAAAATCCACGCAGCCAGCAATGGATCTTGATCGCAGTACTTTTTAATTACAAGTGGTACTCGCAAAGCTTAAGGATCATAATAACATATTTCCTTTATTCGTTTTAATCTCCACTGGTGGAGAATGAGCCGCTACGGCTTTGCCCGGAATGCTGCATATAACCTTTGACTCCCATACACTCAACCAACTAAATTCTCACTTCCTCTGCAGCTACCACTGCTGAATCCACCATTGCCTCCGTCTGGAATTACAGCTACTATCTCTCGGACATGTCCTGGGAAATACCGATCTCTTTAATACTCATCTCCATCAAGTGGTGGGAGAATTTCTGGGACAAGGTAATCTTTTTGTCATTTAGTACAAAGAGATATTGTACATGTTAATTAGCAGCAAATAGCAGTTATAAGAATCAGAAAAAGTTTCAGAAGATTTCAGCGAGTTGAGACAAGGATGTACACTGTTCTCCAGTTAATTTAAATTATTCAGTGAACATAAGTGGAATTACATATAACGAATGCTAGGGATCGTCATAACTGCAGTCAGCCAGATTACAGATGCAGTGTTTATGGGTGATAAATATTGCGTACAATCTTTAATGAAAGGTAATAGTAAACAAATGGCTCCTTCATAAGTGCACAGTTAAAGTCATTTGCATTTATTTTGGCTACTACAGACAGAGTATCGCTATTTTGATCCGGCAGCTTCAACTGCCTGCCTCCTTCCAAACGTAATGGTGCTACCTTTCATTTGGAGTAAACAAGGCAGGCGAGAGAGGGATCTTGATGCATGGGTAACACTCGGTCTCCACATTATTGGCTAGGTTTTGTGCTATGGAGGTACACTAAATACACGTGATGGCAAGAACGTACCTGAAATCGCATGAAGGAAGGCTTCTATTAACCCTTTTGGGTCTTGCTGGTCGGATTCACCATCACCAAGGACCGTGAGTCCCATGACTTCTCACAGCACAGCATAAAGGAAGCGGAAAAGAGGCAAACATCATTCTTCATCGTCGCTCACTACTGACAATACATTACCCCCCCCCCCCCTCTCTCTCTCTCTCTCTCTCTCTCTCTCTACTTCACCTAACTTTCACATCTTACATATTTCTCTCTCACTCCCTTTATCTCTCCCCTCCCCCACCTCAACTCTTCCATCTTCCTCTCTTATTTTCTCTCTATTGTTCTTCTCACATAAATGGTACCCTATGTTTTTATAGATCAATCGGTATGCCATGAATGACAGGGTCAACAATACACCGAGGTCCTTTTACATCTCATGACACTTATTGGCGCTCATATTCGGCTGGATCCACATTGGATCCTGAAGTCAATTTTTAAAATGTGCCTTTGTGCATTTCATTGTTTTCGTCATGGCTGTCGAAAGCCGACCGTTAAGTATGCAATGGCAAACTACTGACCATACAATTCTTTAGTGATGGAAAAAACACACACACACAGAGTGTCAACTTTGGGTTGTTTCTGCAAAATCCAGTAAAAGAAGGCGAAACTAAATTTTTAATCTCTATGTGGATTCAATCCCCAAACCAGGAGCTGCAGCAAGCGTCTAGCCACTGGGCCACTACGGTAATCAAAAACCTATGTAGAAATTTGAAAACAGAAACCGTCCCTTTTACGAAAGTGGCGCATAGAAGAAAAGACCTATCAGCATTTTATAGGTGATGTAGTCTGCATCACGCTGGTCGCCTTTACTTCTAATGACTTTTTCTAGTACAAATTTAGGGCTGCACTGATTCAGGAGCCATAGAAATTTAAGATGATTATGACATGCAGATTGTTACTAAACATTTTTTAGACAGTGATAAGGCTCACTTTCCTCACAATTAATTTGATGGTCAATTTATTTCTTAATCTTACTTTGATTGTAGTTCCCTAGAGAAAACGATGACGATAATCAGATTCTAACTCTTCAACTAACACAGCTTTGTTTGTTTACAGGATTTGCGCATTGGCTGTTTGTATCTGCCGGTAAAATTATACAAGGACACTTTACATCGCTGCCGAACAAAATCTTACATTCTAGCCAGCTTTTGGAAGATTGGAGTCACTTTTGGATTTGCTTACCTCCTAGTTCCAAATCTTCAGATGGTAGACAAAGTATTCCGAGGTATTGTGGACACTCCTTCACATGACAAGCATTACAACGGATCCTTCCGGGACTTTCCTTTTGTCACAGTTCAGGTGAAGAATGTATGTGGTTCTTTATTAGTATCTTACCCACAGATGACGTTACAGGACAGTTCAACATTTCAGAGGGTGGTAAGACTAGGTTTTCGGGCTTTCTGATGCTTTTAACAATTCCAAAACATCTAGAACTGGCCCTAACACCAACCAACCTATGTTCCACGAGAGAGTGCAACCTAGGTCCCACGACTGCGCGCAGCCTATCTACCACCCCCTGAAATATAAAACTGTCCCGTGATCTGTGGATTCCCCTGTTTGGGGTAGGATATTAATAAAGCACTATTTGTGTATAAATGCATGTTAGTGAGTTATGAAATTGGCTACCTCCCAAGCACACCTGACACGCCCATTTGTGTTAAGGTTCGCCCTTCAACACATACATCAGCCTCCTGCAATTAATAGTACGTCATGTGCTGGTTGGCCAGATTTCTTCTACTTCTGGTGGGATTCTGGTGTATGGCGTTACCGATCTTTACTTTATTCTTACATAGTCCCTACATGAGATCAATTTGGGTAATGCTCATCCGAATAGTGGCACTTTATGTAACCGGGTGTTTATCGCTCATTGTGCGGTCCTGGTGGGGTTAAAAGCTACTCACTAAATCACTTTACGCCCAGTTGTGCAATTTGATGTTTTGAAATTTGATGTTAGTTGCCTGTAAGCATGCTGACTGTTTGTTTTGAAAGTCTGTCTGTTTTCTCATTTACCGCAAATAAGGCAAAATGAAGATTGGATGTTTACATTTGTTTTGTTTTTTAAATCTCACAAGGACATCAATATTAAGAGGTTGCATCCCACATGTCAACAGCTTACACCGAATGGTAACCGCGTTACAGAGTTTAAAAGTTGAACAGGACTTCTGCAACGGACTATAGATATTAGAAGCAGAGGAAGCCGTCTTTAGACAGATCATTAGCTATTGTAGACAGCACCGAGAGAAGAATCTTGAGTCTTGTTGCATGGCATGGAGGTGTGTCTGCACACAAACTGATACATGATGCAGGCGATTGCGGATTGTGAAGAATCATGATCGCCCATGCCAGTCGGCAAGGCACCTTATGATGATGATAATGATATAGAACAGGGGAAGAAATCAGGAAAAATATTAGATAGTATGAACAGAGAAAGACAGTTAAAACAATGTGCAGACATGGCAAAAAGGTTGGAAACTTTCAAATAATGTAAATTATGTCAATTTCATTAATTAAAAGTTTATATGATATAGAGTAGTGACACGTCGCAATTCCTATTTTCTTTCCCACGTCGGTAAATTGAGATGTTTAATTTAAGGACGCAATGTGTAAATAATGTGTAAATTAATATATTTTTACTTTACAGACGAACGACACCCAGAACCAAACGTTTCCGAACATTTTTCTCCCACTACCAAAGGCCAGAACCTTAGAGTCAATGTTCATGTACAAGGAGGCACAGAACTGTTCCTTGACCAACATTACCGTGGGCGGGGTAAAGAACACTACAGTCTGTACGACTACATACGTGTATCGCTGGAAACAGTGGCAAACCTATCTTCCTCTCATGGTGCAGATAGCTAGTTCCGGTTTGTGCTATTACTTCGCTAGACTGGCCTGCAAGCTATGTATGCAGAGGATATCTTTCTCCATTCCCCTCAGTCTGGCTACGCCGCTGTCTGTGGCAGTTATCATTACGGTATGTCAAAATAATGTCTTGTGTAATTATATATATATATATGAGCAATATATCCTTGTCATTGAGAGTTAAAAAAAGAATTCTTGCTTGCTCCATACATCCAGTTTTAACAAATGGCTGTGAATCCCTATCAGTTCGTGTGCCGACACACATCCATGCCATGCAACAAGACTGTCAAGCATCTTCTCTCGTTGTCTTCCTCTATCCCTCCTTCCACAGATCTTTCCAGTGGTCACAACATGTTATATTTTCCCTCTTCTCATAACATGGCCGAAAAATTATGACTGTCTCCTTCTAATGTCTGTGATAAGTTGTCTTCGGGCTCCCGCCTCTTTCAAAACCTCTTGGTTGCTCTCTTTGGCTGTCCAAGGTATTCTAAGCATTCTTTTGTAAAACCACATCTCTGAGGCCTCAAGAGGCCAAACAATTTCTTGCCAGTTGTGTTACCTTGATCTGTGTATCTCTGTATTGCCAGTTGTGTTACCTTGATCTGTGTATCTCTGTATTGCCAGTTGTGTTACCTTGATCTGTGTATCTCTGTATTGCCAGTTGTGTTACCTTGATCTGTGTATCTCTGTATTGTCAGTTGTGTTACCTTGATCTGTGTATCTCTGTATTGCCAGTTGTG